CTTCACTCCATACATATTTATGTGGAAGTACAAGCTCCAAAATCGGGTTTACAGTGAAAACTGCTGGAACTTCAAACCAGCACTAGGAAACAGACTGATAAACCAGAGAATCTGTTTCTGCTGCTACATGTTCCCCTTGTGCTAGATGAAGGAACGTCTGACCAAAAGCTCAGTTTTAAGAGTTAAGCGTGTGTGAAAGTTGTACTTCACCAAGGTAATTTGGAACAAAGTTTCTCTTCATTTGCAAACCCCATTACATAAATATATATCATGAAGTACAAGCTCCAACTCTGTTTTACAGTGACTACTACAATAACTTCAATCCTGCAGTAGGAAAGAGACTGAGAAACCACAGTAATTTTTTCTCATGCTACCTGTTCCCCTTGTGCTTCATAAATGAACGTCTCTTCAAATGTTCAATTTTGAGAGGTAAGAATGTGTGAAAGCAGACTTCAACTAGCATGTTGGGAACACGAATTTTCTTTTCAGTTGCATACTCCACTACATACATATATATGGGGATGTACAAGCTCCAATTCGCTTTTACAGGGAAATATGCCGGAACATCCACCCGGAATTTGGAAACATACTGAGATACCAGAGTAATTGTTTTCTGTGCAACCTGATTCCTTTGGGCTCGATGAACGAAAATAAGTCCACATGCTGAGTTTTGAGAGTTAAGCGTGAGTAAAATCCATCCAAAACTTAGGTTGTTGGGAACACAAATTTTCTCTGATTTTGCAAACTGCACTACATACATATATAACGGGAGGTACAAACTCCAACACGATTTAATAATTAAAACTGCAGGAACTTCAAACGGCACTAGGAAACACTAAGAGAAACCAGAGAAAGTGTTTCTGCTGCATCCTTTCCTTTGTTCTAGATGAACGAACGTCTCTCCACATGAATATTTTTGAGATATAAGCGTGTGTGAATGCTGTCCTTCACCTATCTTTTTGGCAACATGAAGTTTCTCTTTATTTGCAAAATATAATACATACATATTTATGGCGAGGTACAAACTACCACTCAGTTATACAGTGAAAACTGCAGTTATTTCAAACGGGAACTAGGAAACAAACTTTAAACCGAAGTGAGAATTTCTACTGCATATCCTTCCAATTGTGCTAGTTGAACTAACCACTCTCCACTTGCTCATTTCTGATAGTTAAGCGTGTGTGAAAACCTATCTTCATCTAGCATGTTGGGAACACAAAATTTCTCCTCAGTTGCCAACTCCGCTATATACATATACATGGGGAAGTACAAGCTCCAACCCGGGTTTACAGTGAAAAGTGCAGGAACTTTATTACAGCCCTAGGGAACAGACCTAGATGCAGAGAAATTGTTTCTGCTACAACCTGATCCCCTTTGCTAGATGAAGGAATGTCTTTCCAAAAGCTCAGATTTGAAAGTTAAGCATGTATGAAAGCCGTACTGCACCAAGGCATTTTGGAACACAATTTCTCTTCCTTTGCAAACTCCATTACATACATATATATCATGAGGTACAAGTTCCAAGTCGCTTTTACAGTGACAACTACAGTAAGTTCAATCCGGCACTAAGAAAGAGACTGAGAAACCACAGTAATTGTTACTCTTGTAACCTGTTCCTTAGTACTTCATGAATGAACGCCTCTCCAAATGCTAAATTTTGAGAGTTAAGCGTGTGTGAAAGCCGTCCTTCATGTAGCTTGTTGGGAACACAAAGTTTCTCTTCAGTTGCAAACTCCGCTACATACATATTTATGGTGAGGTACATGCTCCAACACAGTTTTATGGTGTAAATTACTGGAACTTCAATCCGTCACAAAGAAACACATTCAAAATCCAGAGTACGTGTTTCTGCTTCATCCTTTTCCCTATGTTCTACAGGAATGAACGTCTCTCCAAATGCTCAGTTCTGAGAGATAAGCATGTGTGAAAGCCGTCCTTCACCTATCTGGTTGGGAACACAAAGTTTCTCTTCAGTTGCAAAATATACTACACACAAATATATGGGGAGATAAAAGTTCCAACTCGGATTTACAGTGAAAACTTTAGGAACATCCAAACGGCACTAGGAAACATACAGAGATACCAGTGTAATTGTTTCCCCTGCAAGCTCTTCCCTTTGTGCTAGATGAACAAAATCTGTCCACATGCTCAGTTTTGAGGGTTAAGCATGTGTGAAAGCCGTCCTTTACCTAGCTTGTTGAGAACACAAAGAATCTCATTAGTTGTGATCTCCACTTCATACATATATATGGGGAGTTACAAGCTCCAACTCGGTTTTGCACTTAAAACTGCAGAAACTTCAATCAGGCACTAGTAAATGCACTGAAAAACCAGAGAGAGTGTTTCTCCTGCAAATCGTTCCTTTTGTGCTGTATGAACGTACGTATCTACACATGCTCAGTTCTGATAGTAAAGCGTGTGTGAAAGCTGCCTTTCACTTAGCTTGTTGGGAACACAAAGTTTCTCTTCAGTTGAATTCTCCACTACATACATATGGCAGGGGAGGTAAAATCTCCAACTAGGTTTAACATTGAAACTTGCAGGAACTTCAAACCTTCACTAGGAAACACACTGGGAATCCAGAGTAAATATTTCCCCTGCAAGCTTATCCCTTGTGCTAGATGAAAGAACATCTGTCCACATGCTCAGTTTGGAAAGATAAGCGTGTGTGAAAGCCGTCCTTCTCTTAGCTAGTCGGGGTCATAAGGTTCTCTTCAGTTGGAATGTAAGTACGTACATATATATGTGGTGGTACAAGCACCAACACCGATTTATAGTGGAAACTGCAGGAATTTCAAACATTCACTAGAAAACACACTGAGAAACCAGAGGAAGTGTTTCCCCAGCATCCCTTTCCTTTTGTGCTAAATGAACGAATGTCTATCATCATGCTCAGTTCTGAGATTTAAGCCTGAGTGAAAGCCATTCTTCACCTTACTTGTTGGGAACCCAAAGTTTCTCTTCAGCTGCTAATTCAACTTCATACATATATATGGTGAGGTACAAGTTCCAACACGGTTTTACAGTGAAAACTGCAGGAACTTCAAACTGGCACAAGGAAACTCAAAATCCAGAGTACTTATATCTGCTGAATCCTTTCCCCTTTTTTAGATAAATGACCATCTCTCAAAATGCTCAGCTCTGAGAGTTAGCCTGTGTGAAAGCCGTCCTTCACCTATCTGTTTGGCAACACAAATTTTCTCTTCTGTTGCAAAATATACTTCATACAATGTATGGGGAGGTACAAGTTCCAAATCATCTTTACAGTGATAACTGTAGAAAATTCATACCGGTACTAGGAAACACACTGAAAAAAGAGATTTAGGGTTTCTCCTGTGGATTTTTCTTTGGTGCTTGATGAACGAACGTCTCTTCACATGCTCACTTCTGATAGTTAAGCATGTGTTTATGCCTTCCTCACCTAGCTTGCTATAAACACATATTTCTCTTAAGTTGTACCACCACTACATAGATATATATGGGGATGTACATGCTCCCACTTGGCTTTACAGTGAAAACTGCAGGAACGTCAACCCGGCACTAGGAAACACTCTGAAAAACCAGAGTAATTCTTTCTTCTGCGTCCCTTTCCCTTTGTGCTATATGAACGATCGTCCATCCTCATGCTCAGTTCTGAGGGATAGTTGTGTGTGAAAACCGTACATCACCAAGCTTGTTGAGAACACAAATTTTCTTTTCAGTTGAAAATTCCACTACATAAATATATACAGGTAGGTACAAGCTCCTACTGTTGTTTACAGTGAAAACTGCAGGAACTTCAAACCGGCACTAGGAAACAGACTGAGAAACCAGAGTAAGTGTTTCTCCTGCAACCTGTTCCCTTTGTGCTAGATGAACTAACGTCCCTCCACAACTCATGTCTGAGAGATAAATGTGTGTAAAAGCCTTCCTTCATCCAGCTTGTTGGGAACACAAAGTTTCTTTCCACTTGCAAACACCACTCCTTTTATATATATTGGGAGGTACATGCTCCAACTCGGTTTTTCAGTGAAAACAGCAGGAACTTCAACCAGACTAGGAAACAGACTGAGAAGCAGAGTAAGTGTTTCTCCAGCAACATTTTAACTGTGTGCTATATGAACGGACGTCTCTCCACATACTTAATTCTATGATTTAAGTGTGTGTGAAAGCCATCCTTCACCTAACTTGTTCAGAACACAAGG